TTCCTTTCAACATCTGCCTGTAGGAGGACATGCCCGACCTAAATCTAGGTCGGCAGCTCGTCCCACACTCTGCGGCCGCGGCGGAACCTCGGCCGCGCTCTGGGGCGAGGAGGAGGAGGAGAAGAAGAAGAAATGGGCTTCAGTTTGTTCTGTTCGAGCCCCACTGATGGTCAGGGGCCAGCAGGGGAACAAGGGCGCGGGCGCAGGGACACGTTTTTCGTGCACCTCGCGCGGGCAAGGGGAGAGGGGACAACGAGCATCTGCCAAGACGTTCTGAGTCCAAGGGGGTCGACCAGCCCAAGCAGGAGCTTCAGTGGCCACGCTCGGTGGGTCCGATGGCCGTGGAGATCGTCTGCCTGCGCTGCGGCTTCGGTGGAGGGTGGCTTCCTAATTGTGACCCATCGCGCAGCAGGAGGAGGAGGAGGAGGAGGAGGAGGAGGAGGAGGGAAGGATAGGAGGAGGAGAGGAGGGAGGAGGAGAGAGGAGGAGGAGGAGGAGGCGGGAGGGGGGTAGGGGAGGGAGGGAGGAGGAGAGGAGGAGGAGGAGGAGGAGGAGGAGGAGGATGGAGGAAGGAGGGGAGGAGGGGGAGGAGGAGGAGGGGAGAGGGAGGAAGCAGGAGGAGGAGGAAGAGGAGGAGGAACGCGAGCAGGATGAGCGATGTGAGGGACGACATGCCTGCGAGGGTGTCTCGGTCGAGGCGCCGGCTCCAGCACTCCAACGGGCAGCCGCCTCCTCCTCCGAGCCTCCTCCTCCTCCTCCTTCCCTCCCTCCCACTCCTCCTCCGCCTCCCTCCCCTCCTCCCTCCCCCCCCCTCCTCCCTCCTCCTCTCCCCTCCCCCTCCTCCCCTCCTCCTCTCCTTCCTCCTCCTCCTCTCCTCCTCCTCCCTCCTCCTCCTCACCTCCCCCTCCCCCTCCCCCTCCCCCTCCTCCTCCTCCTCCTCCTCCCCCTCCCCCTCCCCGTCCCCCTGCCCCTGCCACTCCTCCTCCAATAAGGGAATGCTCGGCACGAGGAGCACACCCCGGGGGAGGCAAGCAGCAGCGCGCAGATCTCCCAATCGGGCAGCGTTGGGCGGGGGGGCCTTGACTCGCGTGCGTGTGACCGAACAGCCCCGGGCCTCTCTTGAGGCCCTCGCGGGGCCTGGCAGGGTGTATTTGGGGCCATCTGGGGTTCTTTCGGGGCGTTTCCTCTGTTGGGACCTCGGAGCCTCTTGGGGCCATCCTGGCGTCGCTTCGTGGACATCGGGTTCGTGTTGGAGAGTCCCGATTTCAGGGCCGTGTTCAAGACCAGCTGTGAGAATCGAGGGGCAGATCAGATTTGGACCTTTTTGAGGACATGTTGGGCTGCCCAGGGGCCTTCTCAGAGGCGTCTGGACACGATCTGCCGAGATATCAAAACAGTTTGGTAATCACATGGCTGTGCTTCATGATTTGTGGGGACTCCGCCGCCCATTGGGACGGGGAAAATGCGTTGCACTTCGCTTTTCTTCGGCTGCATCCACCTCAGGCTAGACGATGTATGCTCGCGCCGACAGGGATGAAGCAATGGATTTGAACGACCTGCGGAAGAAACGCCGCCCACTGGGGAAAATTGCGTACACCGCAAGGGTGAAGCAGGTTCTGAAGACCAAGAAGGCCCAGACGGCGGCCAAGAACGTCGCAGGGCGATTCCGCAAGGCTTGCAAGCAGGTGGTGGACCGCGGCGGGGCTGCGGCCGACAATTGACTTATTGCACTGAGGGCATCGCGGCGCGACGCGTGCTGCCATTGCTTGGATGTGCTGGACTGAGGCTGCCACGCGGAGCATAGTCGGATGATGTCCCTGCGCGAGCTGCGCTGCCGTTGCAGCGCCGCGTTCGAGGGAGATCAGTCGATGGAGACAACGGCAAAAATACACAAGGACAAATGCGTTGCACTTCGCTTTTCTTCGGCTGCATCCACCTCAGGCTAGACGATGTATGCTCGCGCCGACAGGGATGAAGCGATGGATTTGGACGACCTGCGGAAGAAACGCCGCCCACTGGGGAAAATTGCGTACACCGCAAAGGTGAAGCAGGTTCTGAAGATCAAGAAGGCCCAGACGACGGCCAAGAACGTCGCAGGGCGATTCCGCAAGGCTTGCAAGCAGGTGGTGGACCGCGGCGGGGCTGCGGCCGACAATTGACTTATTGCACTGAGGGCATCGCGGCGCGACGCGTGCTGCCATTGCTTGGATGTGCTGGACTGAGGCTGCCACGCGGAGCATAGTCGGATGATGTCCTTGCGCGAGCTGCGCTGCTATTGCAGCGCCGCGTTCGAGGGAGATCAGTCGATGGAGACAACAGCAAAAATACACACCCTTGTGACAAAGTATTATGCGGTTTTGTGATATGTTGGAATCTCCAATCAAAACAGGATCGGAAATTACTCCGCCCATTCCTATATGAAAAAAAGGGACGGGATGCGCGTCCACGCGGAGTAATTTCTACTCCGCCCACTCCGTTTATTCCGCCAGTCTTGAGTCTTGTTGAATGAAGACCGCATCGTACTTTTGTCACGGCTGGCCTTCGTGTGATCTCTTAGAGCTTGCCGAGATCTTCCCGAGACCTCGCGGGCGCGTTGCAGTCTCCTGGAGCCGCGTCGGAAAGCATCGTGGGCACCCTGGGGCGCCAGAGAGTGGAATCTGGGATTGCCAGGCCTCGGAAATGCGGCTGCGAGTTTCCAGAGGCCCCCCTCCCATACAGGATTTTGCCCCCCGGGGACAGGAAGGGAGAGGAGGGGGGGGGGAACAGTAGGAGCAGGAGGAGGACAGCCAGACATCTCACACGCCGTGCAACCTCCGGCAAGCAGGGCTCGGCGGCTCTCGCTGATCAGGAAGTGCGCTTCCGATTGTGGCGGTTTGGCGCCCCCTGCAGCTGATGTTGGCTTGAGGGGACCGCGGCCCCGAAGTCCGCATCGGAGCAGACTCGGCGTGGGGACCCCCGGACAGCTGTTCTACGACTGGAGGGCGGGATGGCACCACGAGGGGCGGGGGCGCGTCCCGTGCCAGGCGTTCTCCGCCATCCTCTGCCCATTCCTCCCCGTCCGCCCTCCGGCCTCCGGCCTGCCGCCGCCGGCCGCCTCTCGCGCGGCCGAGGCGAGGCCGCCCGAGAGCCTCCCTCGAGGCGCCCGGCCTGCGAGAGGCCGCCGCCGGCTGGCGAGGCGGCTCGGGGAGGGCCGAGGCCGCTCCCGCGGTCGGGCCGCCTGAGGTCTCGCCGCGGAGAGCCGGGGTGCCCACTGCACCACCACTTGGTATCGCTCGGACGTGTGCATTTTTCCTGCGGCGAGGACCAGCGAGGAGCATTCCGGATCATCTAGCGGAAAAACCACGCACGAAACCGAGAAAAAGCACAGGGAACGGACGTCCGAGCGATGGCCAGACCACCGTGCCAGGCCATGGGCCAGCCTGGGCTCGCACGCGGGCTCGCCGCGTGCCGGAACCCAAGCAGTGGCGAGGCGTCCTGGCTCGCCTAATGATGGCCCCACCAAGCAGTGTTCTAAGAGCCTCTTTTGTGGTTTCCACGAGATGTTCTCGGCACATGTCTGGTTGATATTGTGTTGTGTTAACACATCGGGTTTATGTTCTAAGAACACTGTTTTGTTAGAACATTTGTGGGTTCTAAGAACATTTCGTGGTAGGACTATAGAGTCGCCGGGACGGTCGGTCCCTGCTCAATGAACCCCTCTCTTTCTCTTGCGCCCTCCTCGCCGGCCTGCGTAGGCACCCGGCTGCACTGCAGTCCCCACGCACGGGAGCAGCAAGACAAGCCCGAGGATGGTATAGATCACCGAGCGCGTTCCACTACTCGCAAAGTGCCTACTCGCAAACGTCCGAACAAAACACATGTCTGCTTCGATGTGATTTATCGTAGATCCCCCGCAGCGGATCCAGGCCATTTGCGAGCAGTTACTTTGCGAGCAGTGGAGCGCGCTGGTCTAGTATAGACCTTCCTGGCCTCGGCCAGGAGGGCGTACACACCGCGCCAGGGCCAGGGTGGCCCTGGCTCGGCACGGCGGCGGTGTGCAAATGCCTTCCGCGCAGTGGTGCGGCCCGAGGGCACGGCTTCCGCGGGCCCTCGGGAGTCCATCGGCAGACCTCCTGGCATCGCTCGGGCGTGTGCATATTTGTTCCCGGCGAGAACCATCGTGGACCATCCTGGACCATCGAGCCAGAAAAAAAAACACGCACGGAACCGACAAAAATGCAGTGGACGTGGGCGTCCGAGCGATGGCGAGAAGGACTTGGCTGCCTGGCGCGCCGGCCGAGGCGTCGGCCGACGCAGGCCGAGGGTTGACGCGCTGCGGCGGTGGTTTTTCGGGGGAGGGCGCGCGCGCCGACGTCGGCCAGGTCCCGGGCCCCTCGAGGGGGCATCGCTCGGACGTGTGCATTTTTCCGTCGGCGAGGACCATCGAGGAGCATCCTTGATCACTTGGCGAAAAAAACACGCACGAAACCGAAAAAAACACAGGGAATGGACGTCCGAGCGATGGCCAGTTGAGGGGGCCCCAGACCCTCACGTTCCCCGCCTTGGCCCCCTCAGACAACGCCGACGTCGAGAGTCTACAGCCAAGTCGCTGAAACAAGGAGCAGTTTGGGTAATTAAGAAAGGGGCTCGATATTCCTTGGGTCCTTTTGTGGCTTTTCCTCTTGCCCTCCTGGGGCACGGAGGCGCTTACAGGGCCAAGAAGGGGCTTCGCTCCTTATTTAGCGTTCCTTCTTTCAGCGGCCCGACTGTACAGTGAGCATCCATAGTAAAGACGGGTAACCTTCCCAAGGGTATCCTTGCGTCTTTAGATTTGTTCGGCAGTGCGCCGCTAGAAAAGCTTCAACTGGGGTGTCCGAGGACCGTCCAAGGGCCTCGCGTCCTTACGGCGCGTCCTTACTATAGATTTTGACTGTATGCCCGCGCGCCCATGCAGGACGAAGAGGATCGCGTTGAGGCGGAGGAGCTGGAGAAGGAGCCCTCCTCCCGCGCCTTCCGGTGAGGCCGGCAGCAGCGGCCGCGACATCCGCGGCATCTTCCGGGTGCACCAGTTCGAGAAGATTGAGCAGTTCGTGCTCACGGAGCCGGAGAAGTCTTCCCCGCGCAGTGCGGGTTAGGGAGGAGGGGGTGAGGAGGCACCACGGTGGATGGGGATGATGTGGATCGAGGAAGCGCAGACGTTGATTGAGGCGCGCGGAGTAGCGACGATTCCCGTTTCCATGCACGATCGGCGCGCTCCGTGGTCAGCTCGGCGGCATGGGCTTCATGTTTCGTGGAGTGCTTACCCCGATCCGTGGATTTGGCGCCCACGCGCCAGATTGACGGATCCCTAGCCCATGCTAGCGTTTGCCCGGGTGGAGGAGAGGACTCCAGGTGCAGGGAGGAGGAAGGATGAGGGAGGGGGAGGCTAGAGGGGAGAAATATTGATTGTGATGGGCGAGCGTGGAGAAAGATCAGATGAGACGGAACTCGTGCACTCAGGCCTGAGGACAGCCAGTCTCGGGGGTCGATAGTTAATGGTGTGTTGTTTTTGCTGGCATCACAGGTTTTGATGCCGCATTTGCTTGACACCTCAGCGGGTGTGGTGTGCATATTTGGTGTGTGTTATGCGCGATGTATGGTAAACGCAGTGTGTCTACGTTGTGTGTGCTCTGCGCTGTTTGTATGTTCTGCGTTGCATGTGTGTGTGTTATACACAGTGTGTTCTACGTGGTGCGTGTGTATCCTGCGTCGTGTGTGCACTACGTGGTGTGTGTTCTACCAAGTGTATAGTACCTGGTGTGTCTACATAAAGTGCGCTCTACGTGGTGTACTATACGCAGTGTGTTCTACGTGGTGTGTGTTCTGCGTGGTGTGTGTGTGCGTGTGTGTGTGTGTGTTCTGCGTGATGTGTGTGTGTGTGTTCTACATGGTGTGTGTTCTACGTGGTGTGTGTGTGTGTGTGTGTGTTCTACGTGGTGCGTATGCGTGCTCAAGGAGCAGGAGGAGGGGGAGTAGGGGCAGGAGGAAAAGCAGGAGGAGGAGCAGGATGAGCAGGAGGAGCATGCGTGCCATGACTCCGCGTGAGAGCGCCGCATTGTTCACAACCTCGTAAATGACACCATCTTGTTGACACCATGTAGTTGACACCGCGCTGTTAACACGGCGTTGGTGACGCTGCGATGAGGTGGAGGACGCAAAGAGGGGTAGGGGGAATAACGGGGTGGAGATAGAAGAGGAAAGGGAGGAGGAGGACGTTGTTGGCACTGCGTTGTTGACACAGCGTTGTTGACACCGCGTTGTTAACACCGCGTAGTTGACACCTCGCTATTGACACCGCGTAGTTGACACGGCGTTATGTGCACCGCGCAGTTGACACCTTGCCGTTGACGCCGTGCCGTTGCCCAAGAAGCTAAAGAGAGAGGGCATTAGAAGCAATAGGAGCGGCAGGACAAACCACGCATCAGGGATCACGCGACCTCACAGCAAAGGCGAACAGAGCACATGACGGCTCTCGGAACGAGGCGGCCCAGAGGATATGGACCATGCAATAATTAATTTGCTCCTGCCGCTTCCCCGGCGGAGGATTCCGGAACGAGGCGGCACGGACAGAATTTGCGACACAAGTTTGACATGTTCTGGCTTGTTTTCGTTGGGATTTCCTGATCAACCTGCGCGACAGTCGTTCGCGGTGCATTTTTGGAGCACGGCGGCGTAAAAAAGACCATGGCAGTGATGGCGTCGTTGGTGGTGTTCTCGGGACCTCGGGCGCGAAGTGACGGGGCGAACACACATCCAAAGCAATCGCACATTTCCCGACAGGTTCTGCCGACGGCTCCGAAGAACAGGCAACGCGGCAGGATCCAAACTACAATTTCGGCACTGCCGAGGCCCATGCTTTGGGGTTTTCAGTGTAAATTCGTCACTTGCGCCGCGCCGTGGTGGCACTGCGTTGCTGTCAATGCTCCCGTGTCGCCGCGCTGCTACCGCGTAATGACATTGTGCTGTTGACACAGCGTTGTTGACACCGCGAAGTTGCCACCGTGTTGTTGACACCGCGGTGTTGCCACTGCGTTCTTGACACCGCGTAGGTGACACCGTGTCGCTGACACGGCGTTGTTGACACGCTGCGCCGTTGAAGACACCGCGTGATGACACCGCGTTGTCGACACTTCGCTGTTGACACCGCGTTGTTGACACCGCGTAGGTGACACCGCGTTGTTGACACCGCGTTGTTGACACCGTGATGATGTGGAGGAGGACGGGAAAAAGGGGGAGGGGGAATGGCGGGGCCGAGATCGAAGAGGAGGAGGAGGAGGAGGACGCTGTTGACACGGCGTTGTTGGCACCGCGTTGTTGACACCTTGTAGTTGACACCTCGCTGTTGACACCCCGTAGTTTACACCGCGTTGTGTGCATCGCACAGTTGGCGCTTCGACGTTGACGCCGTGCCGTTGCTCAGGAAACCAAGGAGGAAGAACATGAAGCTGGGGGGGGCTGAACAAACCACGCTCAAGGGAACATACGACGGCACAGCAAAAGCGAACATGATACGTGAAGGCTCTCAGAACGAGGGGGCCAAGAGGGTATTGACCATGCAATTATCCATGTGTTCGTGTTTTTTCCACGGTTGGGGACTTCGGAACGACGCGGCGCGGACATAACTTGCAATGCACATTTGACTCTGCGTTGTTGACGTTGCGCCTTTGAGGACGAGGAGGGCGTTCGCCATGACGCAGCACAACGGCGCCGCATTGATGACATCGCGTGAACTACACCGCGTCGTTGACACTTTGTGGTTGACCCCGCGCTTTAGACACCGCGTTGTTGACACCACATCGTTTTTGTTGACGGGGGAGCCGCAGTGCTAACGGGGCGGAGGACGAGGAGGAGGAGGTGGAGGAGGAAGGTACCTACCATGACACCGCGTGATAAAACAGCGTTGTCGACACCGCGTTGTTGACACCGCGTTGTTGACAATTGTCTTCGCGGTTGTTCTCGTCTCCGTCGTCGGTGTCGTCGTCTTCGTCTTTGTCCTCGTCTTCGTCGTCGTTTCTGGCGTGTTGCAGATTGAGTTGGTGGTTGCGCTGGTCTGCTGGTGGTTGCGGTGGTGAG